AACTGTCCAACATGAATGGTAAGGAGAACATTCCATAATTCACAAAGTGGTGGCCCAGGCAACAAGGTGTTAGTCCAATGCTGGCAGTTCCCATGTTGTGCCATTGCTCCGGTCATCCGGTACCTTCAGGGCACAGCAGTCCCCTTCGTAACTCCATGGGATTATGGCATCCTGGCTAGGCATGGGCTCTCTGCAGTAGCTGGAGATGACATCCTTTGGCTTGTCTCCACCTTCTTCCCATGCGGATTGACCAGTGAGCGGTGCCCTCCCTCTTTTTTATAATAGCACAGGGAAAAGGGCAGAGCCCAGAAAAGTCTGGGAAATTGCAGAGACAGACTTAACCCCTTCCCAGTCTGGGCAGCCTGACTCACTTGCTAGCAGAAAATGTTCTCTTTGTAGGCAACCTGAGTCTGGGCTGAGGGTCTGGATGGATCTGGCCTGGAGAAGGACTGTCTCACTGGACGTTTCTGGAGGAAGCTGGAGGGTGGCAGCTGTCCTGGGGAGTTGGGAGTAAAGACCCTGAACTGATCCCTGTGACCATGTAGGGCTTGGATATAATTATGGCTATCGGTAGTCGTGTATAGGCGTGTAATCAGACACCAGACAAATTTGCCTCATGATCCAAAGCTGTGAGGCCTTAAACTGCTCAGAAATTTCCCTCAGGGTCCCCAGCATCTAGGTCTTAGACCGCTCATAAACTTGCCTCAGGGTCCCCAGCGTCTATGTCTTAGACCACTCAGAAACTTGCCTCAGGGTCCCTAGTGTCTAGGTCTTAGACAGCTCTGAAACTTGCCTCATGGTTCCCAGCATCTACGTCTTAGACCGCTCAGAAACTTCCCTCAGAGTCCCCAGCGTCTAGGTCTTAGACCGCTCAGAAACTTCCCTTAGTGTCCCCAGCGTCTACGTCTTAGACCGCTCAGAAACTTGCCTCAGGGTCCCCAGGGTCTACGTCTTAGACAGCTCAGAAACTTGCCTCAGGGTCCCTAGTGTCTAGGTCTTAGACCACTCAGAAACTTCCCTCATGGTTCCCAGCGTCTATGTCTTAGACAGCTCAGAAACTTCTCTCATGGTCCCCAGCATCTATGTCTTAGACCGTTGAGAAACGTACCTCCTGATCTCCAGCATCTTCATCTTAGACCGCTCAGAAACTCAGGGCCGGTGCAAGGATTTTTGTGACAGAAGGGGAGAAGTTGCACAAGAGGGGGGCAATGAGAAAGGTGGGGGGCAGTGGGACAGGAGGAGGGCAGTAGAGATAGGGCAGAAGGACAGGTGGGGGGGCATTGGGACAGGAGGGGAGCAGCATCATAGGAGGGGTAGAGCAGGACAGGAGGGGGGCTGCAGGACAGGAGGGGGGCTGGAGGACAGGAGGAGGGCAGTGTGAGATGTTGGGGCAGAAGGACAGGAGGGGAGCAGCATCACAGGAGGGGTGCAGCAGGACAGGAGGGGGGGCAGCAGGACAGGAGGGGAGCAGCATCACAGGAGGGGGGGCAGCAGGACAGGAGGGGGAGCAGCAGGACAGGAGGGGTGCAGCAGGACAGAAGGGGTGCAGCAGGACAGGAGGGGGGCAGCAGGACAGGAGGGCAGTGTGAGATGTTGGGGCGGAAGGACAGGAGGGGGGCAGCAGGACAGGAGGGGTGCAGTAGGACAGGAGGAGGGCAGCAGGACAGGAGGAGGGGCAGCAGGACAGGAGAGGAGCAGCATCACAGGAGGGGGGGCAGCAGGACAGAAGGGGTGCAGCAGGACAGGAGGGGTGCAAGCAGGACAGGAGAGGGGCTGGAGGACAGGAGAAGGGCTGGAGGACAGGAGAGGGGCTGGAGGACAGGAGGAGGGCAGTGTGAGATGTTGGGGCAGCATCACAGGAGGGGTGCAGCAGGACAGGAGGGGGGGCAGCAGGACAGGAGGGGATCAGCATCACAGGGGGGGGGGGCCAGCAGGACAGGAGAGGGGGCAGCAGGACAGAAGGGGTGCAGCAGGACAGAAGGGGTGCAGCAGGACAGGAGGGGATCAGCATCACAGGAGGGGGGGCAGCAGGACAGGAGGGGACCAGCATCACAGGAGGGGGGGCAGCAGGACAGGAGAGGGGGCAGCAGGACAGAAGGGGTGCAGCAGGACAGAAGGGGTGCAGCAGGACAGGAGGGGGGCAGCAGGACAGGAGGGGGGGCAGCAGGACAGGAGGGCAGTGTGAGATGCTGGGGCAGCAGGACAGGAGGGGTGCACTAGGACAGGAGGGGTGCAGCAGGACAGGAGGAGGGGCAGCATCACAGGAGGAGGGCAGCAGGACAGGAGGAGGGGCAGCAGGACAGGAGGGGAGCAGCATCACAGGAGGGGTGCAGCAGGACAGGAGGAGGGGCAGCATCACAGGAGGAGGGCAGCAGGACAGGAGGAGGGGCAGCAGGACAGGAGGGGAGCAGCATCACAGGAGGGGAGCAGCATCACAGGAGGGGGTGCAGCAGGACAGGAGGAGGGGCAGCAGGACAGGAGGAGGGGCAGCAGGACAGGCGGAGGGCAGTAGGACAGGAGGAGGGGTGCAGCAAGACAGGAGGGGTGCAGCAGGACAGGAGGGGTGCAGCAGGACAGGAGGGGTGCAGTAGGACAGGGGGGGGGGGGGCAGCAGGACAGGAGGGGAGCAGTAGGACAGGAGGAGGGCAGCAGGACAGGAGGGGTGCAGTGTGAGATGTTGGGGCAGCAGGACAGGATGGCGGCAGCAGGACAGGAGGAGGGGCAGCAGGACAGGAGGGGTGCAGTAGGACAGGAGGAGGGCAGCAGGACAGGAGGGGTGCAGCAGGACAGGAGGGGTGCAGTAGGACAGGAGGGGTGCAGCAGGACAGGAGGGGTGCAGTGTGAGATGTTGGGGCAGCAGGACAGGAGGGGGGGCAGTATTACTCTGATCACACACCTTGGGGATAGCCAATACTCTCAGATCTCACCTATCCTGCAGCGGCTCCTCCGGATGGTGCTAGGGGGACTTTGTCCCGGGCAGGAAGGTGAAGGTCTCCTGTGGCAGCTGCAGCAAAGAGCGGGGGGGGGGGCTCCTTCACCTTGACCTTTCTCCTCTTCCTTCTCCTCCATGAGGCCTTCCACTGGCAGCCCATAGCCTGACCCACCCCGCACGCCATGACTCCTGACTGGTGCCTGACTGACAGCCCCGACTGCTCCTTGCACACACCTGAGATCCCTCCACCACTCTGTCCTCCTCTGCACCTTGGCAGGTCCGCTCTGAGAGTGGGATGTGCAGACCACCCCACCGGCCTACCGCCCCACCGGCCTACTGAACCCCCCCACTCTCTTACAGAGGCCTAGCAAATAGCAGGCAAACTAAACCCTCCATGATGTCTGAATCACCAGCAAGTGTCGGGGAATTTGGATTTTACCCCCCAGCCCAGCGCCCTAAGGAGACCTAAGGCCTAACCTGCATTATGCTGACACTGGCCCTGCAGAAACTTTCCTTATGGTCCCCAGCATGGAGGCCTTAGTTGTCACTGAAACAGGAAGCAAGGGCAAAGCTTCCAATGGGGACACTTATTCCAGGAGCAACTGACTAAGACAGGGGTCTGCAACCTTTAAGACATAAAGAGCCACTTGGACCCGTTTCCGAGAGGGAAAAAAAGACTGGGAGCCGCAAAACCATTGCAACATTTAAAACAAATCCGACACTGCATATATTGCAAAAAACGCTCTGGTCATGAAGGGGGTTTAAGGGCCCAGTAAGCAAAGGGTTAATCAGGGCCACAGTGTATCGTCATAATCACAATCATACCCTTAGGTCAGTGGTGGGCAACCTTTTTTTTTCGACTGAGCCAAATCTCGCCAAAACCACGATTGAAATTTATTTTGAGAGAAACATTTTTAAAACTGAAAATACATCCCCCATATAGTAATTCATCCCCCATATAGTAATTCATCCCCCATATAGTAATTCATCCCCCATAGTAATTCATCCCCCATATAGTAATTCATCCCCCCTATAGTAATTCATCCCCCCTATAGTAATTCATCCCCCATATAGTAATTCATACCCCATTTAGTAATTCATCCCCCATATAGTAATTCATCCCCCATAGTAATTCATCCCCCATATAGTAATTCATCCCCCATAGTAATTCATCCCCCATATAGTAATTCATCCCCCATAGTAATTCATCCCCCCTATAGTAATTCATCCCCCCTATAGTAATTCATCCCCCATATAGTAATTCATCCCCCATATAGTAATTCATCCCCCATAGTAATTCATCCCCCATATAGTAATTCATCCCCCATATAGTAATTCATCCCCCCTATAGTAATTCATCCCCCCATATAGTAATTCATCCCCCATATAGTAATTAATCCCCCATATAGTAATTCATCCCCCCCTATAGTAATTCATCCCCCATATAGTAATTCATCCCCCCATATAGTAATTCATCCCCCCTATAGTAATTCATCCCCCATATAGTAATTCATCCCCCATAGTAATTCATTCCCCATATTGTGTGAATTCACTTACCTTTGCTCCGCGCGTTCCTCTCGCTGGGTTCCCGCGCCGTTCTGGTCTTCAGGGCGGACTGTGAGAGGAGAGGAGTTCGTCACGCTGCCCCGCCTACATCCGGGCTGCCCCGCCTACATCCTGACAGCCAATGTTTGCCAGCGGGCGCCCGGCACACAGAAGAGCTGCATTAAAAGAGCCGCGGCTTGCCGACCCTATTGCCTGTCACCTGGTGGGCAGTGTGCTCCGGAGCCGCAGGAAAGGTGAAAAAGAGCCGCATGCGGCTCCGGAGCCGCGGGTTTGCCGACACCCGGACTAAGAGGATCCTCCTCAATGTACAGGAGATATTCCCAGCAGAAGAAATCACAAAACTGAATTTATCCATTTCCTGTATCATCCAATACTTTAATTCTGACCTCCCTTCCTCCCCTTCAGTCGTGCACAGGTGTACCGGCTCCTCCCCTTCAGTCTTGTACAGGTGTACCGGCTCCTCCCCTTCAGTCTTGTACAGGTGTACCGGCTCCTCCCCTTCAGTCTTGCACAGGTGTACCGGCTCCTCCCCTTCAGTCTTGTACAGGTGTACCGGCTCCTCCCCTTCAGTCTTGCACAGATGTACCGGCTCCTCCCCTTCAGTCTTGCACAGGTGTACCGGCTCCTCCCCTTCAGTCGTGCACAGGTGTACCGGCTCCTCCCCTTCAGTCTTGTACAGGTGTACCGGCTCCTCCCTTTCAGTCTTGCACAGGTGTACCGGCTCCTCCACTTCAGTCTTGCACAGGTGTACCGGCTCCTCCCCTTCAGTCTTGTACAGGTGTACCGGCTCCTCCCCTTTCAGTCTTGCTCAGGTGTACCGGCTCCTCCCCTTCAGTCTTGCGCAGGTGTACCGGCTCCTCCCCTTCAGTCTTGCACAGGTGTATCGGCTCCTCCCCTTCAGTCTTGCACAGGTGTACCGGCTCCTCCCCTTCAGTCTTGCACAGGTGTACCGGCTCCTCCCCTCCAGTCTTGCACAGGTGTAGCGGCTCCTCCCCTCCAGTCTTGCACAGGTGTACCGACTCCTCCCCTCCAGTCTTGCACAGGTGTACCGGCTCCTCCCCTCCAGTCTTGCACAGGTGTACCGGCTCCTCCCCTCCAGTCTTGCACAGGTGTACCGGTCCCTCCCCTCCAGTCTTGCACAGGTGCACTGGCTCCTCCCCTTCAGTCTTGCACAGGTGTACTGGTCTCTCCCCTTCAGTCTTGCACAGGTGTACCGGCTCCTCCCCTCCAGTCTTGCACAGGTGTACCGGCTCCTCCCCTCCCAGTCTTGCACAGGTGTACCGGCTCCTCCCCTCCAGTCTTGCACAGGTGTACCGGCTCCTCCCCTCCAGTCTTTCACAGGTGTACCGGTCCCTCCCCTCCAGTCTTGCACAGGTGCACTGGCTCCTCCCCTTCAGTCTTGCACAGGTGTACTGGTCTCTCCCCTTCAGTCTTGCACAGGTGTACTGGCTCCTCCCCTCCAGTCTTGCACAGGTGTACTGACTCCTCCCCTTCAGTCTTGCACAGGTGTACTGGCCTCTCCCCTTTAGTCTTGCTCAAGTGTACTGACTCCTCCCCTTCAGTCTGGAACAGGTTGTACCGGCTCCACCCCTCCAGTCTTGCTCAAGTGTTCTGACTCCTCCCCTTCAGTCTTGCACAGGTGTACCGGCTCCACCCCTCCAGTCTTGCTCAAGTGTTCTGACTCCTCCCCTTCAGTCTTGCACAGGTGTACCAGCTCCACCCCTCCAGTCTTGCTCAAGTGTTCTGACTCCTCCCCTTCAGTCTTGCACAGGTGTACCAGCTCCACCCCTCCAGTCTTGCTCAAGTGTACTGACTCCTCCCCTTCAGTCTGGAACAGGTGTACCAGCTCCACCCCTCCAGTCTTGCTCAAGTGTTCTGACTCCTCCCCTTCAGTCTTGCACAGGTGTACCGGCTCCTCCCCTTCAGTCTTGCACAGGTGTAGCGGGTCCTCCCCTTCAGTCTTGCACAGGTGTACTGACTCCTCCCCTTTAGTCTTGCTCAGGTGTACTGACTCCTCCCCTTTAGTCTTGCACAGGTGTACCGGCTCCTCCCCTCCAAACAGAGCTCTGCCTCATTTCCTGGCTGGAGGACGTCCAGCATCATCAGTTCTTTCCTTCCTAGCCTAACTGTCCCTGACCCCACCCCTATCCTTCCTTGGATTGCAGTCCTTGCAATCCTGGAGGCTCAGCATCCCATGTGGGCGTTGCCTATGCAAACACAGCCTACCTAGGAACGCCCACTCCTCCAGACTGACACCCGCCCATCAGGGCATTTTGATATTTGCATAACTCCTCCTACCCCGCTTGGATCGAGAGGAGTACTGAGGCGGGCACTGTGGTGTTTTTAGGAAGCTACAATGTACAGCCCCCCTGCTGGCCCCTTCTGACACCCACGATCTGGCTGCATTGCATAGAGAAGCACAGAGACCCAGTGATGACATAAAATAACGTAAGTATTGAAAACAGAATTTTTTTTTTTGTAATGATTATTGATTAGCGTGTTAATGAGGGAGGATGGAGGAAATCCTGCGTTGTTTTCCAGCATACAACCATTTGCGGTCCTCATTTCCGTTTGGTGACACCAGCTGACTTTTCACAATACAGTGACACCTCTATGACCGCCATTCTGGATGACAACGTATTTGGCGGCCATTTTCAAGACGCTTGCCGGTATTTATTGCTCGTTTGTCTGTCACTTAGGTGAGAAGCTGACAGAAGAAGAAGTGGACAGGCTGATGTCCGGCCAGGAGGACGCCAACGGCTTTGATCAACTACGAAGGTATCTAGAGCGTCCCCAGGGTCGGTGTCACCCGGCGCAGTAACACTCGGTGACACCCCCTCCGACAATCCCCGCAGAATGGATCCGATCCATCCTGTGGGGATCATCGGCTTGCTTTACAACTTATCTTTTCGTTGAGCGGGTCCGGTGTCACCCCTGTGAGGTCGGTGTCACCCGGTGCGGTTGGTGTCACCCGTTGCGGGCCGCACCCCCCGCACCTGCGCCTACGTAATGGTAGACAATGGTAGCATTGGCACAGCTATGGTCACTCAGTTGGAGGGAATGAGCAGCACGCCTCGTAAGGTTGGGCACCAAAAGCAGGCCATAGACGGGTCGGAAACCGGCCATTTAAAAAAAAAAAAAAACGAAAAATCGGTCGTTCAATAGGCTGACGTTACCACCAACGTAAAAAAAATTGGCCGATTTTCTTCCCATCTACGGCCGGCATTTTTACTTCTGTCCCTGCAGAGAGCTCCGCTATTATATTTTACATGAAAAAGTCTTGCGGTTGCAACAATGTATCCATTTGTATCCATTTGTATTCATTTCGGATACAGATGGTTTTATTCGGATACAAATGGATACATTGTTGCAACCGCAAGACTTTTTCATGTAAAATATTATAGCGGACTGGAATTCTTCTTCTTCTTCTTCTCCTCCTCCTTCCTCTTCTTCTTCTTCTTCCTCTTCCTCTTCTTCTTCTTTTTCTTTTTTATGTATTTTTTTATTGGTAAAACGATTGGCCGATTTGCCCATCATTGCCGGGAAGATTTTTTGTACAACTGTACTGATAAAAATGTGCCAAAATCCCAAAAAACGGCCAACCAATTAAGCCATTAATGGTGCGAAAATCGGCTGATTTTTGACCCGTCTATGGCCTGCAAAAGTCTCCCTTCCCTGGCAGAAATGGTGAAACTTCATCAGACGATGAAAATCTGACCGATCGTACCTAGAAAAAATGGTCTTTTATTAACCACTTCAAGTCCGGACACTTTCACCCCCCCCCCCCCCAAACCCCCCCCCCCCCCCCCACCCCCCCCCCCCCACCCTGTCCAGGCCAATTTTCAGCCTTCAGCGCTATGAATTTTTTTAGCTTTTTTTTTTTGAGACTTTATTTTGGTGGGATTTTAATTTTTTTTCGCTATATAAATGAAAATGTTTAAAAAAAGTTTTTTTCTTATAAAATTTTGCAAATAAATAATCTTTCTTCATAAATATTGGCCAAAATTTATTCAGTTATCTTTTTAGTAAAAAAAAAAACCCAAATTAGTTTATAACCAAAATGATAATTTTTTACATTTTTATATAATATTATTTATGTTTTTTTTGGGTTTTTTTTTTGCATACCGTCACCCTAGCAGTACTGGCCAATCGTATCTAAAAAAACCTGTCTTTTATTAACCACTTCAAGTCCGGACACTTACACCCCCCCCCCCCCCCCCCCCCCCCTCCTGTCCAGGCCAATTTTCAGCCTTCAGCGCTATGAATTTTTTTAGCATTTTTTTTTTAGACTTTATTTTGGTGGGATTTTAATTTTTTTTTTTCGCTATATAAATGAAAAATGTTGAAAAAAAAGTGTTTTTCTTATAAAATTTTTGCAAATAAATAATCTTTCTTCATAAATATCGGCCAAAATGTATTCAGTTATCTTTTTAGACAGTAAAAAAAAAAAACAAATTAGTTTATAACCAAAATGATAATTTTTTACATTTTTATATAATATTATTTATGTTTTTTTGGGGTTTTTTTTTACATACCGTCACCCTAGCAGTACTGGCCAATCGTACCTAAAAAAAAAAAACATGTCTTTTATTAACCACTTCAAGTCCGGACACTTACACCCCCCCCCCCCCTCCCCCCCCCTCCTGTCCAGGCCAATTTCAGGCTTCAGCGCTATGAATTTTTTAGCATTTTTTTTTAGACTTTATTTTGGTGGGATTTTAATTTTTTTTTTTTTTCGCTATATAAATGAAAAATGTTGAAAAAAAAAAGTGTTTTTCTTATAAAATTTTGCAAATAAATAATCTTTTTTCATAAATATTGGCCAAAATGTATTCAGTTATCTTTTTAGTAAAAAAAAAAAAACCCAAATTAAGTTTAAAACCAAAATTATAATTTTTTTACATTTTATTTTTTTATAATATTATTTATTTTTTTTTTTTGTTTTTTTTTTTACATACCGTCACCCTAGCAGTACTGGCCAATCGTATCTAAAAAAAAAACATGTATTTTATTAACCACTTCAAGTCCGGACACTTCCACCCCCCCCCCCCCCCTCCTGTCCAGGCCAATTTTTCAGGCTTCAGCGCTATGAATTTTTTTAGCATTTTTTTTTTGAGACTTTATTTTGGTGGGATTTTAATTTTTTTTTTCGCTATATAAATGAAAAATGTTTAAAAAAAGTGTTTTTCTTATAAAATTTTGCAAATAAATAATCTTTCTTCATAAATATTGGCCAAAAATTTATTCAGTTATCTTTTTAGTAAAAAAAAAAACCCAAATTAGTTTAAAACCAAAATTATAATTTTTTTACATTTTTATTTTTTATAATATTATTTTTTTTTTTCGTTTTTTTTTACATACCGTCACCCTAGCAGTACTGGCCAATCGTACCTAAAAAAACATGTCTGTTATTAACTACCTCAAGTCCGGACACTTCCACCTCCCCCCCCCCCCCCCCCCCCCCCCCCAGTCCAGGCCAATTTTCAACCTTCAGCGCCTATGAAGTTTTTAGCATTTTATTTGAGACTTTATTTTGGTGGGATTTTAATTTTTTTTTGCTATAATTAAAAAATATTGAAGAAAAAAGTGTTTTCTTATAAAATTTTGCAAATAAATCCACCCCCTTCCTGTCCAGGCTACTTTTCAGCTTTCAGCGCTATGAATTTTTTAGCAATTTTTTTGAGACGGATAAAACTTTATTTTGGTTGTGTTTTTTTTTTTTTGCTATATAAATGAAAAATGTTGAAAAAAAAAGTGTTTTTCTTATAAAATTTTGCAAATAAATATTTTTTTTTTATAATATTATTTATGATTTTTTTTTTTTTTTTACATAGCGTCACCCTAGCAGTACTGGCCAATCGTATCTAAAAAAAACATGTCTTTTATTAACCACTTCAAGTCCGGACACTTACACCCCCCCCCCCCCCCCCCCTCCTGTCCAGGCCAATTTTCAGCCTTCAGCGCTATGAATTTTTTAGCATTTTTTTTTTGAGACTTTATTTTGGTGGAATTTTAATTTTTTTTCGCTATATAAATGAAAAAATGTTTAAAAAAGTGTTTTTTCTTATAAAATTTTGCAAATAAATAAATCTTTCTTCATAAATATTGGCCAAAATGTATTCAGTTATCTTTTAAGTAAAAAAAAAAAACCCAAATTAGTTTATAACCAAAATGATAATTTTTTACATTTTTATATAATATTATTTATGTTTTTTTTGGGGTTTTTTTTGCATACCGTCACCCTAGCAGTACTGGCCAATCGTACCTAAAAAGACCTGTCTTTTATTAACCACTTCAAGTCCGGACACTTACACCCCCCCCCCCCCCCCCCCTCCTGTCCTGGCCAATTTTCAGGCTTCAGCGCTATGAATTTTTTAGCATTTTTTTTTGAGACTTTATTTTGGTGGGATTTTAATTTTTTTTTCGCTATATAAATGAAAAAATGTTTAAAAAAGTGTTTTTCTTATAAAATTTTGCAAATAAATAATCTTTCTTCATAAATATTGGCCAAAATTTATTCAGTTATCTTTTTAGTAAAAAAAAAAACCTAAATTAGTTTAAAACCAAAATTATAATTTTTTTTTACATTTTTATTTTTTTATAATATTATTTATTTTTTTTTTGTTTTTTTTTACATACCGTCACCCTAGCAGTACTGGCCAATCGTATCTAAAAAAACATGTCTTTTATTAACCACTTCAAGTCCGGACACTTCCACCCCCCCCCCCCCCCCCCCCCCGTCCAGGCCAATTTTCAGGCTTCAGCGCTATGAATTTTTTAGCATTTTTTTTGAGACTTTATTTTGGTGGGATTTTTTTTTTTTTTTCGCTATATAAATGAAAAATGTTGGAAGAAAAAAGTGTTTTCTTATAAAATTTTGCAAAATAAATACACCCCTTCCTGTCCAGGACAATTTTCAGCTTTCAGCGCTAATGAATTTTTTAGCAATTTTTTTTGAGACGGATAAAACTTTATTT